CATTATAGGGATGATACAGTTATACATAGATCATTCCCACATGACTTTCAATATTACAATTTAATGTTACACTGTAAAATGTATACTCAATATTAATATTACCAGCTGAAAGTTATATATTCCTCACTGTTGCTATGAAGTTTGTTTATCATATATGATGGTCATGTCAGAATAGGCATCAATGTAGTGTAACTAAGAGCTTATGACATACGTACAAAGAAAAACAAGTTGTGTCAAAACATGTCTTGGTTATTACAGATTATTACAGACTGACCTCGTAACAATTTTGTACTTGTGCATTTTAGTGTAACATTAAATTTAAATATTGAAAGTCATGTAGGGATGATCTATGTATAGCTGTATCATCCCTATATTCTTGTTTGCATTATTTTTGTTGCCGCCATCCGTACATTACTTTAGATTTACAAAATGTTTTTCATTACTTGCGTATCTTTACCGTATGTGTAAGTATTATGCCTGCTGTATTTTATGTGTTGGTTAACTTCTCATATACGCGTAATTAAAAAAATCGAAATAAAAAAAGTGTTTTTGGAACATACTTAGGGGGGGGACAAAGTGAAACACAATATATTTTGTAATAGTTTATCAATTTTATTATAAGAAAAAAAATATGTATAATAAGGAATAACCTCATAACCATTTTGTGCTTGTTATAGTTTTCATGTTATAACTTTTAAAATTCAGATTATCAATAAACTTTACAAGGCTTTTGTACACAAGATATCCGATTTTTTTTTATTAAGTGTTAATAAGTTTTATTAAGTGATTTTTTTAAGTAATGCTTTTTCTCATGCCTTTTTTTATTAAGTGTTAATAAGTTTTATTAAGTGATCTTTTTTAAGTAATGCTTTTTCTCATGCCTTTTTTATTTTCTAATATTTACTATCCAACATGCAAAGTAATTTTGAGTTTAAGAATAAAAATACTTTTGTGGGTCAGAAAATTGCCAAATTTAACATGCAAAATCTTTGTAACCTCCAGATAATTATCAAACGTTTTTTGGAAAAAAACTTGATATTTTATGTGTTGTTTTCACGATTGTATCTTTGCATGGGTTTGGTCAATTTGATTGACCTCATCCACCATAAAAAATTAGGAAATAGATATAAATTGCACTTTTTTGTTCTATAATGACTACAAATTATAACATAAAACTACAAGTGTTTAGTCTAAATAGCTTAAATTTCATAAAATTATACATCTATATATATTTATTATTTTTATTTTATTGACCTTTCAGCCACGTCTGACTAACATTACAGAAATTGCAATGATGCAGCAAACGTGCATTTGTCTTACTGTATCCAATAGCATAAAACTGGCCTTTACAAAGTGACCTGTCTTCTATTGGACCAGTATTTTGTAAAATACAGTCACATTTTGGTTATACTACATTACATATGTATATATGTTATTACTATTTACAAATAAATTCTTAAATTTCAGTTATTGTTCTTGGAACAGTAAATACAGAAATATAAAAAACAATGATCTCTACTACTTGTACTTTGTACTTGCTTGCTAAGCCTTGCCAAATTTTGCAAGTGAAGAATATAAAACAAACTTTTTTATACATGCATTTTGAAATAACAAAAAAGTATAAGTTACTCTATAAATATCATAGAATTCTACAGCAATTTATCAAGCTTGCTAACTAAACTGTATTTGGGTCTAAAAAATTATTTCTTTTGTCTTGAGATTCAACACAAAAGAAATAATTTTGGGAAATTCCCACCTTCAAGAGGCTGAGAAAAACTACGTGGGGGAAATTTTGAGCTTTTGATTGATTATAAATACATGATAGAGTGAAGCAGGTGTACGTAAGGAACTATTTCCAAGAATGGAAAAGATGGGTGGGGCCACTGTGTTTGATTTGCTAAATATAGTAATATCTCAGCAAATAGAAAAGAGAGAGTTCTTATTTTATATTCTAACTTATCAATATCAGTAATTTAAGTTTATAATTTGTAAGAAACTATAGACTTTCTATTTGAACATCACAAACATCTAATTTGAACCAAAACTGCATTCAACATACCACGAGACACACAAAAATTGATAGTTAGGAATTTGTTTTTATATTTACTTTTAAATTAAGATATTAACTAACGTATAATACTAATATTTGAATTATAATCTACACTTTTATACCAAATTAGTGACAGACATTCATAAAATTTTAAATGTAAGTCTAGAAATGTGATGACATGCCCTTTGACCCCTGACCATAGAAAAACCCTTAGCAACAGGGTTAATACATGTAGCAATCTAAATGTATTTCATAAATGTACATAAGTGTACATCAATGACCTTTATGCTTACATACCTGTAAACTTTTAGGCTATTAGGTGAAATAAAATTCGAAAAACAAAAAATAATAAGTATGAGCTTTCTTTACTTAAATACAAAAGATCAACACACCTCCCAGTCGAGGTAATCTTCTCCTTCTTCAAAGTGTCGAAGTATAGAAACAGACACATGTAATTTGCTGAATTCTTCTCTTGTAATGGGACTAAACCGGCTATCCTTAGAAGCACTGAAATTCACAATTTCCATGCAATCCATTTATGCATTTATTCTGATGTTCAAGAAAAAAAGATACTAATCCATTTCACTTTTAACATTAAAATACATAGTATAGAAGTAGCTAATCTTTAATAAAATTTGTCTATCCTCAAAAAAATCTGGTGTTCTGTAGCTTAATAAAAATAATGCCACCTAATGACAATGACAGTCAAATTTTATCTTACAACTTTCTTACACTCTGTTAAAATACACATTTCAAATTTTTGCAAAGATACATACCAGAAGTAATTGAATTTAAGATTTATACTAAACGTCCCTGTAGCCCCCTCTATTTAAAAATTTATATTTTTGTACATAGGGTACCATAACAAATTTCCTAAACAAATTGAATGTTACATTGAAGTAAAACTAGCAAGACATAGAATTTTAGTAAAATTAATACAACATGCACCATGCCAAATATTTTACATATAAACATTTCAGTAGCAAACAAATGCATTTGAAGTAATCAACCAGACAAGTTTTACAAATTCCTTAGTTTCTACTCATGGAAACACTACTAACTGTCAGAAGTTATAATTTTCCTAAATGAAAATGTATTTTCGATAGGTATTTTCCACCACTCATAAGATTAGCTTTTCTCATGTTGTACTGCCCTCTATATGCAAACTTTTTCAAAAATGCATGTTACAAACTTTCTTCATCCCTCTGTTGGAATTATTTATATTTTTAATATTTACACAAATACGTATAAGATGATGGAAAGTTATAATATTCCTAAATGAAAATAATTTCCAATAGGTACTTCCCTCCGCTCACAAGATTAGATTTTGTTTTGTGCTGCTCTCTGTATGCATACTTCTTCAGAAACACATGCCACAAGCCTTCACCATCCCTCTGTTGGAATCCAAAGTTCCAACACATCTCTCATGCAAATCATCATGCATCACCTCTCCACCTATAGCAGAGCACCACTATAATGTGACTCCCTCTATGTGCCAATACCAAACTATCATTCTTGTTTGGCAACACCGGAAGATTGTGCGGAAAACAGGTGGGAAGTGTGAGAAGAGGGAAGTACCTATCAGAAATACATTTTCATTTAGGAAAATCATAACTTCTGATAAGGTACTCTTCCTCTTCTCACAAGATTAGCTTCAACCCCACATTGAAATGGAAGAGGGACCAGTGCAAGGGAAGTACAGGCATATTCCCTGGAAGCATCCAGAGGACACCCCTGAAATGAGAGGAACAGATCAGATGATCTGAGGAGGGGCACTGCACCACATATGAGCCAGTATCTCTTCGACAGGAATATCGACATGATCAGATTGGCAAGACATGGCGGATCATGAAGCATGGAGAAGATAATTTATCAATGTGATAAAAAAAACAGAAATTAGAATCATTCAATGGAATATGGGCAAGTGAAGATGTTTCCCATGGTGTAGAGTGGCTAAAGTGTAACAAACCATACTCAGTAAGTCAACTAAATCCAAAACCTCAATCGTGAGGGAAGGATGAAAATCATACCTTCTTCACCTCAAGTCCCAGAGTCAAGAGAGAACATAACATTTGACTCCAAAAACTCATAGGGTACATAATGCCAGGGATCTGGGAATGTGTCATCCGGAATCTGAGGGAAGTCCATTGCATGCACTCAACCCCCGCAACTATCATACCAGCCCAAAACTACCCAACTTTGAGGTAACAACCTCATCACCCAAGGGAAACCCAGGACAGAAGCAGAAACAGGCCACGCAGACCTGCAACCCACAACACAGAGGACAAGTCAAGAGGGAAAGATGGACAACCCAAAACCTATGTGAGGACTTATGTGATCTCCAAAACCTCACTCACTGGGTAACAACATCCGTGCAAGGGTAGGAAGAAGGCACCCAATCAGAGGGAGGAACTGTTCTTGGGTGTCTCAACTATAGAAATTAGTTACTCAATCGGAGAATCTTGTAACTACCTCTACAAAGTCAGAACACCACCACCCTACTCTGAACTGAATGGTTAGGGTCATCTTTGTGGAACCCAACCAGCAAGTTCCCTCCATGGTCAACCATCCCAGCAGCTTGGAACTGGTAAGTGGTAAGGACTCCCGCACTCCACTGGAAGAAAGGGGAAAAAGTGTGGTGGAGAGTCCGGGAGGACTGCAACACCCAAGACAGTGCAATGGGTGATCATGAAACCCTATTTGTAAAAGCAAACCACACAGATTTATTCAATCCAGACAAAGCAGGGATGGGCAGCAATCCCCTTCTGCTTTACCCATGCCATCCATGGGTGGTATGGTCCAGGATGGGCATATTATGATGCAATTATCACAAGGAATTTACACTTCAGTGATCTTGTGAAACACTCCATCTCAAGGGTGAGCATACATAGCCATGTAAAATGTATAAGTACCAATATGCCTTACAAATTTGATTGCAAGTTGTCTGCGAATGGTTATAGCCATCTAAGTAGAACCCATTTCGAATACCAACAGAATACCTGGTCAGGCACCACTCGCCACATAGCGAGGTCCAAAGTGAAGCAGGGGCCCCTGAAAGAAAAGAAAGCATTAGTAAGGAGTTACCTCAAGTTACAGCCACACCAAGTCTGTAGAATAGCCATAAGCAGCAGGCAATACCCCAAGGAAACAGAAAAAGCGATGTGGTGCAGGTAGTGGGAGATGAACATATGTGGAGTCATTGACATGCCTGGTCATAAAATCTCCTCCAATGGCCAATGAAGACAAGAAGCAAGGGAGAAGGAAAGGTGATAGATTTTATGTGAGGAAACATGAAAGAGATCACGCTGGGAAGAAGAGAAGTAGGAATAGGCCAACTGGATCAAAAATTTAACCCAATTGGTCAGGGTAACCAGGGAAAGAACATGGGAAGAGGAAGGTTGTCAAGGGATAAAAAGGTGGAAACAAGGACCCCAGAAGGAAGCCGTGCTAGCATTATAACAATGGAGGGAATCACAGGACAGAGGAGTCTATACGGATCAGGAAGAGAGTAGAGATGACATATAGAGGAGAGGCAGATAGGAGAAAAGGAGGACTGAACTTTTCAAGCAACAGAGGTCTTAGGAAAAAAAGCATGATCCAGATAAAGGATAGAGTAGGAAGAGCTGTACAAGGTCCTGGTAACATCAAGGCTAAAAATATCTGACCTACGACACCCACAGGCCAGAAGGAGGAGAAAAAAAAATATGTCTTTAAAGAGAGATGAAATAGGAAACAAGTAGACAGAGGTTCGATTAGATGTAAAGTGAGGGTATGAAGGACCACTTTAATGTCCCAGTCCAGGAACAACAGACGCTTGGTGGGCAACAGAGCCAGAAGGAATGGATCAAAATGGAAAGGACAGGGGAAGCAAAGACCCTGCAGAAACAGGAAAAATGGAAGGTGTGAGATAA